TTTTTAAGTCTGTAAAAAATAAGTTTTTGAGGAAGAAGAAGAAGTAGTGTTTTTTTTTTTTTTTTTTAGACTTTAAAAACTCAGAAGCTGATCAAATATCGGGTTAAATATCGGTGGGGTGGCCGATGTCCGATATTCAGTTTTAAGGCCGATACCGATAGGGGGCCGATTATATCGTGCATCCCTAGTATCGGCTAATACTGCACAGCCAGGTGTCATTATCGAGGCCAAAAAAATGGCATCGGCACAACACTAGTATTTTGTCTCTGAAAACCCCTTTTTCTGCATAGGTTTATGGTTTTATAAATGTATATCTTTTCATTGGAGGTTTGCATTTATTGTAATTTTTACAGTAGGTGCCTTTTTTTTTTCATTGAGCTAAAAATGCCCACGTTTTATACATTTCACACACAGCAACATCAAATTGTCATGGTTTGCTTTAAAAAGCAACTTTCGCTAAAATATCCAATATGTTCCTGAATGTGGTTCCTGTATGTTTTAATAAACTGTTTTGTTATATTTTGGATTTTTGTATTCAGTTTCTCTTTTTAAGATGATGCTACAGTAATTTTTTTGTCTTGTTTAATTTCTTCTTTTTTTTCCAACTCTCCCTATTTCCTGGTTCTGTTTTCCAAGGCTGTTGTTTAAGAACTTTTCCACGCTTTATCTTTGTGTGTGTTTCACAGTGACCCATACTGGGAGCGGCCGTCTAATACAGGCAGCTGCTCGACTGCCCGGCCCAAGACCCTCCACCTGGCCGGCCAGCAGCATACCTCCTCGCCATGGTAACGTTGACCTCAGTAGCTGTAGAATTAACATTTGGTATTGCTGATTTTTTTTTTGTGCCATATATGAAACAAGAACAAAGAATGATTGATTTTTAGGATGAGGTTGCTTTCTTTCTCATCACATTCACCAGACACATTGATTAGATGAAAATTATTTTAGTCCTTTTTTGTCTCTCTGTCTTTCAGAGTTTAAAGCTAAACTATCTTTTTCTTGTAAAGGTCATAGTTGCTCAGAGTTATGAACAGAAGAAAATAAATTTATGGTCTTGTAATGAGCTTATATAGTTGATTAAATTAACCCTAATAGTTTACAAGCTTTGAATATACTACTAGTACTATAGTATAATTGTTAAACAGAAAGTAATCAAAGAAGATACATGCTATTTGACAAATAAATCAGATAATGCTCCCACTATTCAGTCAAAATGTTTTAATTGCTTCTATTTAATTGGGAAAAGGAGCGATTTAATATTTTGCTGCTGTTAGAATGATATATGTTTGAGTAGGGAGGTAATAATCTACGATGAACAACATTCCTTTTATAAAATCAGAGTCAGTGATATCAGGAAGTTATCCAAATAATTTACCATTTTGTTTTGTCAGTTAAGAATATTTAAAATCGAATACAACTAAAAGCTATTCTTTAATACAAGAAATACATTTTAGAGTCTGTTTAAGCTAGAAATGTTTTGGCTTACACTGAACAGTTTATCACAGTTTTGCGGAAGACTAAAGAACAAGATGGAATTAAGAACCACATAATATGTAGAAGTATTTTTTTTCTTTTTGTTGTCTTTTTGTGGATTACCACTGTACAGCGACAGCCATTCAAAATGGCCGTTTCCAGTCCAAAGCCAGCCGAATGGCAGGAAAATCCCCTCCAACATCCAGCCACCGGCCTTTTCCTGAGCTTCCATATTTTTTACTCCAAATCCATCCTTTCACTGAATTACAGGGTCTGACCAAGAACTGACGCTCCTCTTTAAAGCTTAATGTCCACAAATCATGACAGAAGTAATGTTTTATTATAAAGATTGATGTTTAAAAAGGAATTGAAAGGGATCAGCTAAAGAGCAGCCAAGGGCCCAACAAGGAAAGTGGGGAAATTTTGAATGGCTACTACTGTAAGTCTAACAAGCCATTATCAGTAATTTCCCAGGCGATGGTCTAGCTAGTATCCGTTTTATGCTACGTTCACACCGGACGCAGCAAGAGCAGCAAAATGGCGTCTGCTGCTTCATTTTTGCTGCTTGTACCAGTTAGTTCTGACGCGCGGCTGAAGCAGCTTTGCTGCTCTGGCTGCGCGGTGCAAAAGTGTGTCTGACGCGCGTTGGGCGGAGCTTCACTATCCTTTCTTTGCCTTGCAGCTATATTTGCTTTGATCAGTGGGAATAAAGTAGTTTTAATATGTTTTAAAGTGAGAAAATCCACCTGAAAACTTCATCAGTTCATCCAGATTACCATCCTGCCTTCCAATATTTTTTCTGTCGGAGACGCTCAGAGCCCCACATACCGTCGGTGCGCTGTCAGTAGGATCCCATTCAACAGCAGCCTCTGTCCGGGTCGCCTCCTCGCAGTTCACCGCGGCGGCTGGTAGGTGTT